AGTACCCGTGCCTGTCGCATTGGAAGTTCGATGACGACTTGACCTACGTCATCGGGTCAGGTTCCGCCCCGGATGGCGATGCCGACGCTCTGGCTGGCATGTTGTTTGCGGTGCTCGCAATGGAACAGGAAAGCTCCCCACCCAGCTGGCTTGACGAGGCTCGCACCAGTCATGCTCAAAGCACGGAGGTCAACAGAGAGAAAAACGGAGACAGACAGTGAGCGAGAGAGAGAGCGAAGGTGCATGTGTTTGTGTGCGGAGAGGAGGCGGAGGAGTCGGAGGACGAGGAGGTGTAGTAGGAGGGCGAGAGGAAACGAAGGAACAGGAAAGCAAAGACGCAGATAGTGACTCATGGCACTGTAGCAGCGACATGACCGGTTGAGCATTGAAGGTTGGCCAGTGGGCTTACGACACATGCAAGCAGTTCTACATGAGCTCCACTGTGGCCTCTAGCTCGGGAAATCACCGCATTGTCAAGCTGGGTGCCTGTTGGGGCGGCTGGGATGGAGATGGCCAGAACCCCAGCTATCATGCTCCGGGCGTCTACAGGCTGTGCCGCAACTACATGAAGTCTCACGACACCAAGTATGGCTCCTCCGCCAACGAAGGAGAGAATTGGGAAGCCGACTGGAACAAGGTCATTGCCACCACCTACAAAGTTTTTGAGGCCACCCAGTGTCCTTCCACTGGTCTCGTGCCCAATTGGGCCAAGGTCTATGAAGAAGGCCAAAGCCTTCGTGCTGAGACGGGCTTCTCTGGCAGTGGAACGCCGGGTGCCGAGTATGGTTCTGAAGCGAGCCGCACCGTGTGGCGCGTGACCCTAGATTACCTCCTCTTCCCGAGCGAAGCCGGTGATGCCGCTGCCTTTTTGGATCCTCTTGCCACCCACCTGGAGGACAAGGAGACGAACGGCAATTGGGCGACGGCTCTGGATGTGGATGGCAGCTGCTTGGTCGACTCCGTCCACAGCAGCTGGTCCTGGAACATGCTGCTGGGCTTTTACTTGGCAGGTTTAGAGTTTAGGGTTGCCCCCGGGCCGTACCACAAAGGTTTTGCACAAAAAACCAAGATACTTTCGAGCACGGTTTGCATTCTACCTGTCACCCTAAGCACTAAGCAACCCCGGTTCCCAGCCAAATACATCCGGAACCCCACATCCTGAGTTCCCTAAACCCGAAACCGTGCAGCTCAAAATCCAATGAGGGAACTCCCTGCTTGAAGAGGTTTGACACGTAAGCACCTAAGCTCTAAACCCTAAATCTTATAAGCTCCTAACCCTAAGGGTCCGCTAAGAATCCTAGATGCTCCCCAATATGCCCTTCTAGGTCCCCAATATAGTACGGCACCCTAATAAAAAAAAAGGGCCCTAAAGGGGACCCTCACTTAGAGAACTACCCAATTGACTAACCTGCGCTCACTGGTCTCCAAAGCCCACCTCTTCTCGTGCGGTGCTTTGGACTCTTAGGATAAACCCCAGCCCCTACATCCTGAGCCTTAGAAGCCCCCAACCCTCAGCCCCTACCCACCCTGAGCCCACTACCCTAAACCCCAACCCTGGCCCTACCCCTAACCCTCCAGGTACCTATCAAAAATTGGGGTTCTAGAGCTCCTCGGGCCCTATGCAGTAGGTACCTGGAGTTTAGGGTTTAGGGGCTTAGGGGTTGAGGGTAACTCCATACAAAGAGGTTCATGGCCGGTCCAACGTTCTCCTGCCTCGTTTGTCCAGCCAACTCTGTGCAGGAGGTGCCTCTTCAGCTTTCTAAAAAGTGCTGGGGGCTTTGGCTTTAAGCTCTATTTAGGTGTTTAGGGTCCAGGGCTTTTGAGGTTCAGGGTTTAAGGGATTCATGTGGGGTTAGGGCTGAGGGGGTTCAGGGCCTGAGCTGCTTAGAGTTTGGGTCCAAAGGCATATAGGGACCAATGAGAGGGCGCTCGGCACGCAGAACCGAGCGCTGTGCGGCTTCAAGAAAAAGCGTTCCTACGTAGGCCCTGAGTCGTAGGATCCTTGCTGTGAGGAACTTTCTTTAAAGTTTAGGGTTTGGGGTTTAGGGTTTTTTCCGGAGCCTGATTGCAAAGACTCGTTTCTCGAACGTGTTCAGCAAGCACCTCAAGCCGAGAAATGTTCTGTGGTTGGCGTGTTTGGGGTACAGGCCTCTGAGGTTCAGCATGGTACCCTAACCCTCCAGGTACCTACTAGAGAGGATACTAGAGCCCCTACAGCCCTATATAGTAGGCACCGGGTGGGCTAGGGATGGTTTAGCGTTTAGGCGCGAGCGTTTGTGGCTCTTGAAGGTTTCCATGGGGGGGCTTATACTACGCAGGGATAGAATTCCCTCAGCCAGGCCCTGGCTCTGGCTCAGTTACAAAGGAAAAAAGTAATGTGGGTTAGAATTCCTTCCTTGAGCCCTAATCAATCCTTTCGAGTAACCACAACGTTGATGGCGAACTCGATAGCCTCAGCTCTAGTTCCTTCGAACTTGTTTTCCTTGTTTGCCCATGAATGAACGGGCTCCGACCCTGAACATTGGTTGGCCAGACAGGGCACTAGATGGGGAGTGTAGCTAGCATGTTTCGAAGGCTTTGGGCTCAGAGGCTTTACACCTCCAGCCTCGTTTGGGCAGCGGCATCGTGCTTTTGCGATTCATAGCTGCGATGCCACCACTGCAATGTTAAGATCATCACCACTACGACCATCATCACCGTCTTCTTCATCCACTGAGTCTGAAATCTAGTCCCGAACTGAGAGCTCGTAAAGCCTTGCAGTGTAACCAGCCCGTAATTCACCCCATTGGAGGAATCTATATAATCCAAAGGGTTTTGGAAAAGGAACCACCGGAACTTATAAACCCTGAAACACCCTGAAAGTGCGAATCGCACCTCCGAAGTTGTAGACTTGTACCCCAAAGCCTCTTAGAATGCTGCTTAAGTTGTCTTAATTTTGGGAGGACCGGCAGCAGGAGCTCATTGATGCCGCCGGCAACAGGGTGGCATCCAAGGCGGGTGGTTTCAAAAAGCAGGAGCTCCTAGGGTACCGGCCTGCGATCTAGGTAGGCCATTGCGGCATTCTGTATTTCCTTGAATGGGTCGAAGAGGGATTGCCAGTACGACAAGACTTTGCAGTGCTTTAAGTGCCACGGTCAAGGACGGCCACTGAGTATTGGGATTCACTATAACTTACCTCAAGCATGTGCATGAGGTTTATCCCAACTTTCGGGCTCTTCTTCATTTTCCGGTCTGTCGGGTGTAGGTGCTTAGAACTTATAGCAGGATTCAGAGGTTTTGGGTTTTAGGGTTCAAATCTCTAAGGTACAGAAGTTAAACAGAGTCTACGTATGGTCTCCATTGTGACCCTCTTCGGTGGGTATGCTAATTATATAAGCGGTTAAAACCAAAAACAGAAGCTGCAACAGAGACCATAGGTAGTTCTAGGGAGTCGGGTTTGAAGTTGAGTGCCAGGCGATCGAAGACTACTACTCAGGCAGCTGGATTGCGAGTCTCGGCTGCAGAAGTCTTGAGGGCTAGGGTATACCCATAGGCTCCATGGTAGTGCCTTTTTGGGGGTTACCTTTTAGGATCCCCTCTCTCTCTCTATATATATATATAGAGAGAGATATATCTATCTATCTATCTATCTATCTATATATATATATATATATATAGAGAGAGAGAGAGAGAGAGCCCACAAAAAGGAAGTGCCATGGAGCCTATGGGTATAGGCTTTAGGGTTTGGGAGGGTGTGGGGTCGGCCTAGACTGTACTCGGTGCCACCTGGAAGTAAGCTGATAGCTCGAAAGTCCAATATAGGAGGTTATTAGAGCCTTAGCGGTTACCACTTTTCTTCCCTAAGGTTCCTAATCTACAGATACTCTACTCTATCCCACTTGGCCCCTCTGCTGAAGCTTCGTAACATGCTTCAGAAGCCGTATACAGATGACATGAAACGAACCTTGTTCAAATTAATAAGCCCCGGCCCCCCATATAACACGCATGCAAGTACAATCTCTTGCAGGTCGTAAATCCTAAAGCCCTAAACAAAAGCAAAGCCAAAGCCCCGAACCCTAAAGCCCGAACCCCCCCCTAAACCCTAAACCCCAAAGCCCGGAACCCTAAACCCTAGAGCCGTGAGCCCTCAACCCTACGAGCTTCACATATGGAGGAGGTGCAGGGCTACTCGGACGCTTCGGGATCTACCGGACCTGAAACAACCTCAGAGTTTAGAGTTCACCTGGATCCTATAAAACCTACCTTGTTTTACGGGGAGGTTCCTTCTTATGATTTCCTTATATGAGACCTTGAACAGGTCGGTTCTTGGGGGTTAAGGTTGGGTTTAGGGATGCAGTATTCCGACTGCGGACCGTGGCATCTGCAAGATGTTGCACTGTTTCACTGAGTCAAAGCAACTCAAACGGCCCCACAAGCTGAAACCGCACAAGCCAAATCCTAAAGATCTTATGACCCTAAAGCCCTGAGCCCTACTGAACCAGGAGTCCCCTAGGGCCCTATGTAGTAGGTACCTGGAGGGTTAGGGTTTAATTTAGCAAGGGGTTGTGTCCACCAGCGGCTCTGTTTGGCGCTGGGTCTTCCTACGATATAGGTCTGATCGAGGGTACAAGGAGGGACTATAAGAACCAAGGATCAGCACCATCACCCTAAACGGAGACCTTCTGCGCGCAGCCGATCGCATCGGCTTGCTCGGATCAGCGCAGCTCGGATTACATCAAGGTTGAGCGCCGGGTCTCAGTTTAGAGTTTAGTGCTTTTGTCTTAGTTTAGGGTTTAGGTTTAAGGCTAGGGCTTTGGTCCTATTGGGGCCTTGAGTTACGGGTTAGGAGCTTTAGGGTTTTTGTTGGGGTTCTGGGTTTAGGGCCTATAGGGTTTAAGTTGCAATTACGAGGTTTCAGCTCTAGTAGGTTGGTAGGGTTTGATGTTGAGCTGGCACGTTTCTGCCCGGCTTGAGGGAACACCACGTTAGTCTGCATTGATAGGTGCGAAGCAGTTCGGGTGTAGGGCGTCGGGCTTGGGGTAGTTGTGGGCAGTGTTTCGAGTTCGGTTGTCCTACAATTGGTTGTACTGTGAAGCATCTTGTTCCTTGATGTTTGCTTGTCTAGGTTTCTCGTCAAGCAGGTTGTCCAAGAAGGAAGCCTGTCTTCTAGTTCACGATCTAGATGGGGATCAGGAAGAGGTACCCTAAACCGTTGGGCCCTGCGACGTCTTGCCATTACCATGAAGGGTCCCTTTTGGCGTGCTGTCGCATAGCCCTAAGGCTCCTCCAACTAGGTTGTGTAGTGGGGTCGTGGGGACGAATCTTCTATGCCAGCTTACTTTATTGGGCCAACGGATTCCCCGAATTTAGGTAACCCTACACCCTAAACCGTGTTTTGAGTTGCTTCACTAGTTGTCACGATTTGTCCGGGAGCCACCCACCCCAGACCCAGAACCGTCATGAAATCCTTCAGCCGCCGCTTCACTTAAGTGCCCTCCAGGGTCGATGGGTTTGGGAGCGGCGGCCCTGGAACTAGAGCCAACCCTACCTATAGTCTCCATTGTAGTTCCTTTTTTTGGTTTGACCAATTCTGTATTAAGGATCCTAAAAGGTAACTCCAAAAAGGAACTACAATGGAGACTTTAGGTAAACCCTAAACCCTAACACCCCTCCTTTATCAGGTCCACGACGTCCACGACGACAGCGGCCCCGACGACACAAGCCACCACGGCGCTGCCCACGACGACGTCGCCTTCCGGTGGATCTGAGCTCCCTGGGCTTAGTTCTTAAGGCCGAGTTATAGAGCTTCGTGACAAAAAACTCCCAACTCTTTTAAGTTCCATGATACGTTACTTACAGACATGCATGCATACATGCATAAGTACATTCATACGCACTCATATACATGCATGCATAATTACATTCACATTCATACGCACAATCGTTTGTTGACTTGCTGATGCCTACTTTATTTGGTGCTTTGGTTATTCGCTTGTTTCATCAGGGTTTTGCTGATTTTCAGGTTGCTGGTTTCAGGGCTTGCGGATTAGGTATTTAGTCTTCAGGACTTGTAGGCTCTATACCTGCTGAACCATATTCAACACGTGGGAACTACAACGGCACTGGGTTTCGTTCAATCAATTGCAGTTCGGGGGTCCCTGAAATCAGGATCCCACTACAGCGTCGCCCATTTTCCGCAACGCCAAAAACTAACCCAAACCCTTCTTGGAGGCCCGGGGGACTTAGTAAGTCGGTTATCCGACTTACTAAGTCCCCTGGGCCTCCAAGTTAACCCTAGCCGGAACTGGAGCTGACCAGTCCCTGCCATTGGCGGTTTTAGGTCTAGGGTTCATCGGGGCTTGTGATGCATGAAACTTATGGAAGGATGCTAATCTAGCGTGTTGTGCCTCAGTGGAGGAGATCACCCGAGTCCCCGGAAGGAAGACCTTACGGCGCTACGCCCTCAACCCAGAAAGCTGGATTCGAAGTCCCAGTAGAACAAAGGTGTGAAACGCTAGCTCCCTTGTCCCAAGAGCTCCAAAACTCAGCATCCTGGACATGCTTGGAAAGCTTTTCCAGGAAAGTCTTTGAGCCTGTGGACGGAGGTTCTGACAGGCAAGGGACCAGGGAGCTGGGGTCATAAATAAATACTTGGGACTGGTGGCCTATGACCCTAAATCCTAAACCCTACACAGTAAACCGAATATTCAAAACCCCTCAACCCAAAACCCCTAAACCAAAACCATCTTTAACCTGATGACATATCATAAGGACTCCTAGCGGGACTGTGAAGCAAGGGACCGCGGTCGCTATTAGACTCTCAGACATCCCTACATAACCCACCTTGTGAGCCAGGCTTAGAATTGCAGGCTTAGGGATTCTGAATTCTCATTAGCCTTGAAGTAAGCCAGGTATGCAGTCGTTGTTCGTTGGGGCCCTCTGTCATGGAGAGCCCAAGTCGTAAACTCATTAGCAGGGAGACTTCTCAACCCGAACGAGGGGTTATAGGGTCATAGGTCAAGTGGAGGAAAGGGGAGTTATTTGGGGGCTTATAGGAAATCTGGGCGCTTGTCCAACATAGGTCCCTGTTTTTGTGTGCTTTCCAGAGTCCTAGAGTATCGTACTCTTCCGGAGACCATGGGCGTCCATTGCTCTTGTGGTTATCCCACGAGGACCCCGCGCAGGATGTTGAACCCACCCAAACGAAGAAAAGGCTGAATTTGGCACGTTTTGCGTGATCGACTCCTCGTTTTCAACCCGACATTTCGTTCGCTTTCTGATTATATTGTGCAGCTTGTACAGCATGTTTTTGTCATGGGGCGGCTTGTGGCCAAGCCTGAAACCAGCCTTCCTTCCCAGAAGGATCCTACTGTCCCGCAGGGTCCGTAGTCGTTACACTTTTTTGGGCTCTCCTGTTTCTGAAGCTGTCATTCGCAAGGTTCAACTCTGAACCCTAAGCCGTTTAACCCTATAAACACCCTGAGCCCTACAAGCCCTCAGCCCTTTGAACACAGAAAAGCATAAAACCGAATTGTGTGGCATGAATCGATAGAACCGTGTTTTCGTATCAAAGAGACGTGAACAGGGACCCGAAGCGGGATACTCCTGCTAATTCGTCACGCCTCCTTTACCTTAGACCTTATACGAATCTAGAACCTCCGTAGGATCGTTAAATTAAGTCCCTAACCCTCCAGGTGATTACCTACTACGTAAGGCCCTAGGGGCTCTAGCTTCCTCTATATAGTAGGTACCTGGAGGGCTTAGGGAATGGTAATATACTGTGCGCCTGCGACAGGGTCTGCCGCGGCAGCACCCCGTCCGACAACAAGCCGGGCACCTCGTCCGACAGACGGTTTGGGGTTTAGGGTTTAGGGTTTTAGGGTTTAGGGTTTAGGGTTTAGGGTTTAGGGTTTTAGGGTTTAGGGTTTAACATGAGCTTCCATTACCGTGCTGGTGAGTGTTTGGTAGGACTCTGTGTGACTTTCGGTGATGGGGATTTCTTTTATGACCAGACTGGGAACAACAAACACTTGCATGATGTAGGGTTTCTTGAGCAGGGGTGTCATAATACGGGCAGAGGGTTTAGGAACTTTGTCGTTAACTGTCCGGGGTTGCAAGGAAAATTTGGGTCGATAGAGATTGTGCTGGGTTATACAAGCAGTGTTTTGGGTTGATGGTTCTCCTGGGTTTCCGAAGGAGAGAGTTTTAGAACATGGGTCCGAAAGACAATCGGAAATACTGAGGGCGTTTACAGGCCCCCTCTATTTCCAGTAACATCCGTCCATCCATTCATCCATCGATTCATCCATTCATCCATTAATTCATTCATTTATGCATGCATTCAGTCAAACAATGTCAAACACGGTTCATTTGTTTTTGTGCGTGCTGTGTTGTGATGCTATGACACCACAACTTCTGGAAAGTTTCTTGCGAGTGCATGAATGAACAACTGCTGTCGACCTTGAGCCTGAAACTCCGAGACCAAGAAACCTCAACCCAGGTTCGTACAGTGCAGGGGTATCCATGCCAAAAGCACAGCACACCTTGTCATGGATCCTTGGCGACAGAGCCAATTGATGAGCAGGGGTGTTGATCCAAAACTACACAAGATTGATAGCCTCAAGCCTTTGCCTGAACTCTTCAGCCGGACCATATGCACTATAAGTCCTGAGCCCCTTTGTGAGAAACCACCTTTCTACAAAGCCTCTATAAAAGCCTTTTGAAGACGGTAAGAAGAGGCTACTACTTCGTTGTGACCGTTGCCTCCCTGGACGGCTGTCGCTTGGCATGAAGAGATCTGTTGTGTGTATTGTGTTTATCCCTGTCCGGCCCTTTGCCGGATTCGGGTTGATATGAGGGAAGGAGTTGAACGTTGTTTTCAACTGATTGGTTCAGGGATCGGGTTTTGGTCCTTTTCGGTGCTCAATTTGCTTCTTCTATTTGCTTGGGATAGGTTCGGCTCTGTTGTTATCGAGTAGTTGCGGTTCTGTTTAGGGCTGTCAAAGAACATGTGCTTTTGGTAACCCTTGTCGGGGTGAGCAGCATATATTGTTTGCAGTGCTTGTTGTGGTTGCTATGTAGAATACTAGCATTGCTGCTTTGTCTCTGTGGTGACGATTAGCAGATTAGCATTCTTGGTTACCATCACAGTGATTCTTGCTCCCATAGTGTTGCATTGTCCTAGGGCCTAGGGTTTACTGTGAAGACGCTCAGATGTATCAGAAGCCATCCTTGACAGTATATTGTGCTCTGTGGTTTGGTGGTGGTGATCGACTGGTTTATTTATTCATTCGAGTATGTATGTGTCAGATTATAAGGTAGGGCAATTACTCGGCCGGAAGTTGGGTGCCAGGCTTAGGATTCAGGGCGCAGCTTTGGGTTAGCCTTTTTCCGATTGCTGACTCCGTAGTATACTAGGGCTTAGGGTGGAAAAAATTGAACTTACCTATGGTCTCCATCGTAGTTCCTTTTGGGGTTTACATTATAGGATCTTTAGCTGATAACCTGTTAAATCGAAAACAAGGAACTAAAACTACCTATAGCCTCCATTGTAGATTACAATGGAGACTATAGGTAGTGGCTCCAAAGCTGAACTAAGCCTGTAGTATTGGGGATTTGCATGTGCCCAACCCAACAGTAACAGTGAAGGTCTTTTGAGACGGTCGTGGATGAACTTGTGCGGTTTTAGGGTTCAACGGGTCACCATGACCTTGTCACTCCTAGAACATGGTGTTAACATGCCAGGCAAACCCCACAGCCTAAACCCTAAACCCAAATCCTAGCAAATCGTGTGAAGTCCATCGGCGCAGCCTCGAAAGTGCCCAGGCCTCCACTATAGTAAACCCCAAAAAGTTGGAAACCGGATTCAGGACAAACAGTTCTGGGATTCCTTTTAGATTACTCTTAAGGACTGAGGTATTGGGATTCCAATTTTTTGTGCTTCTACTATAAATTCCTGAGTCCCACGAGCAATCCCAGCCCGAAGGTCCTTCAACAAAGGCCATACAGTCCAGGCCGTAACAACATCCCTAAACCCTAAATCCCTGAACCGATGCTCTGCTGTGTTTTTCATAAGCTGACCGTGATGGTCAGGCAAGTCTGAATGCCTCGCCTCAAGCGACTGCGTCGGCCTTGAGTACAAGGCACTACCCACAGAATCCAAGACGGCCCTTCTTTGAGGGCTCTTCGTTTGGATAGGTTTGCATAACCTATGCTGCTGTTAATACCTTATAACCTCTAAGTATGCAGGTGTTCATCTTGTGTTTTGGTACATAAGAGGTGCTTCTGCTTTGGATCTGGGGAGTTGTGGGTCTTTCGCACGGCTGAGTGATGTGAATGTTCTCACGCTTCGGGTTATATATGGTTCGATTGCGCAGAGTTTGCTTCTTAGTTCAGGTCTGGAAGTCAGAAATATTCTCATTGAAGCTTCAGTAGTTTTAGCCTCACCTCCTCAACCTCTGCTCTTCGACAACCTCAGCTGTAAAACTTTGAGCCCCGAACGACGTGTAGTCTTCTTACTCTCTGCGGCAGCTCAAACATCACAAGGACTTGGGCTCTTGTCGGAAGCTAGCGATTGCTTTTTCTTGGAAGCGGGGGGAGACCATTGTTGGAATGTGTTCTCCATCTAGTTCTGGAGCCCAAGCTTGTGCATGGCATCATTTCTGAGTCCTATAAGCATACTCTCCCCCGACGGTCCCTAATATAGACCCTAAACCGTAAACCCTAAACCACCCTAAATACACTATACCTATGCTCCACTCAGTTCTGT